TCGGCATCAGGCGTCCTCGTTATCGCGCTACAGACGCGATGTGACACCTGGCGACGACAGTGGACGGACATCGGCCTCAAACATGGTACGTGCGTCGTATTCTGGTGTTGTTCCGAAGTACGGTGTCGTGTTACCACGAGCATTAACCAGCACTGGGGTAATGGAGGTAATTTTTTCCCTGTCCTCGAAATTTCTGACAGTAACTTCCGAATAGCCCGGCGAAGCCGAGTTAAACTTTGCATAGTCGCAGGCAATGGAATATCCGATTTTTGGCACTAAAGTTAGACGTACCTTGAAAGGTTGCTGACCTTTGGGATGTGAAAGTCAAATCATGCTGTCAGCGACAATAAACTAAGGAATTGTCCAACCCCAGCAACAGCGGATTATGAGACGGAGCAATTCATCTTTGAAATGTTTCTTAGATACACAATTTAATTTACAGTTATGATCAATTCCATTGGCTGTGGGTCAGTTGTTAATGTCAAGCAATGGGCAAAACTTAACAGTCTTTTTAACTGGACAACTTGCAGGGGATAATTGTCAACGTCATTTCAAATTCTTGATCACAGACCTCAACCGTACATCTCGTCGGACCTCAGGGTAGCTAGAAGAGGTTAACGACTAAAATGACACCGATCAACTCTATATATTTTGGAACATACACCTAGCGTAATCCTTGAAGCTTATAATTTGAAAGTCAAAACAACCTCGTGGTTCTTGTTGTTACCGTGACCCTCAGCAGGGCAAGCAAGTTAATAAACCTGCAATAAATATCAGCAAACTTTTGCTTGGAAGAGGCATCTAGGTTAAATCTGAAAAGATAATTCCAACCAGCCTGCTTGTATTTAACGGGAGCTTTCGAGAAAACCTCTATCCCTTCTTCAGCCTTGGTCAGAAAACGATATTCAGAAGAGTAGATCTGGGTGTGCATCAAGAAAAAACCTAGAAATTCACACGCAATCTAATGTACCCATCCCTCTTAGTAACAAAAGTATATAAGATAACCCGTTTTACATTCATCCGCAGGCAAATTGTGCAAACTGTTGACAAAGAGCATGCTACACTCTCAAATTTCGATACGATTTTGATGCGTTTCCTCTGAATGTTTCGACGTCACATGACAGCTAAGTGTCGCTGCACATACCTTATAAACGTGTGGATAGTCGTTCCACATTTCGGAACCGATTGAGCAGCAACGCATACGGCATGATGCAACGACAAAGCAAGATAACGCACGCGTGTACAACTTGCCTGACCTATCGCCCTCTATGGGACTCCTCATTACACAGAGCACTATATCAAAGACTCCAAAGACTTTGGTGCTTTCATTCACACCTTGAAGATAGTGGCAGATGAAGCTATGGTATGTGATGCAGTGTGCCTTTTCGCATCGATTCCCCCTGAAAAGGCTTACGAAACGATAGCACGACTAATCCACGAGATGAGCAGCGAGAATAGAATCGTTAAGTACCAGCCGAGATGAAAGTAAACGGCAATACTCGGTTTTTACGCACTGGCCTTGCTACCACCTACTTGCAGATAAATGGCGATTTTACGGCGGTAGGAATTGCTGTCAGCATGGTGGTAACCACTTCGTTTATGGATAATCTGGAACGACAGGCTTTGGACACTTTTCCTCATTAGGTCAAGTTATGGAGGATGTTGTAGACGACACGACTGCCGTTTTAAAAGGGCACCATGTTCCAGAGCTATCCCTGGGCACTGGAACGACGCGTGCCTAGGTATCAAATTCACCAAAGCGATGGAGGCGAATGACTCTCTTGCTTTTCCTAACATGTTAATGTCATGATCAGGAGACAGCAGTATTAGCACAAAAGTGTTTAGGAAGGTGGGCCATACGAATAAGCACATGGAATTCATGCCACATCACAGCAATCAACACGAGTCAGTGGTTAGATCGCCCGCACAAGGAGCGCAAATATTTTCATTAAGGCCCGACAGAAATTGGAAAGAGGCTGGGTACATTAACGAAGCTTTGAAATTCAATAAGTACGCAAAACATTTCTTTAAAAGTTTGGCAAAAGCGTAATTATGTAAGAACACAAAACGCATCAAAGACAATCGGCCCTTCGTGACTTTACCTTACGTGAAAGGAGTAGCAGAAGGCAACGCGGCTTTTAAACCACACGCTCGTGTAGCCGCCAAACCGTATGCAAACCTTAGAAGTTACCTAGCTCGGCATAAAGTCAAGTTAAAGCGGACCAAAAGATAGAAATAACTCACCGATGCATATGCGAATGCAGCAAGGTTAATGAGCGACGTGTGGAAGCTTAAAGACCAGAAGGGATGAACACCAGCGAGCGATATAAAACGCAGATATAAACCATTCCGGCTTATCGAAGCACGTTCTGGACACGAGTTATCGCAGCGCGTGAGAGGAGAGCAGGAGGGATTTTGCATTATAAGACAAACTGGAGAAAAAGAAAGATTAAGGAGGGTATTTTATTTCTAGAACAACCAGAGACAAACTTTGGAATGCAAAACCGGGGGTAACGATAGCGATTGGAAATCGAATTTTGAATGATGACTAGACAGAAAAAGAGCAGTCGGTCAGGGGCCTTGCGTAATATGGGACGTGGTAACAGGCCTGGGGCCGGAGCACTTGTGCACCTTTGTGTTATCTTGTTTTACTGTTGCGATGTCATATGCGCCATTATTGAATCGATTCCGAAGTGTGGAATGACTATGCACACGTTTAAGAGGTATGCGCCGTGACAGTTAGCTGTCATGTAGCATCGTAACATTCAGAAGAATGAGCTGAAATCGTATCGAAATTGTGGGTGCGTCGCATGTATTCTTCATTAACGGTTTGCATTGTTTATCTGCGTGTGAAATGTAAAACCGGTCATCTATCTTTGTTTTGTTGCATAATAGGAGTGGGTAAATTAGGTGGCATGTTACTTCGAGCTTTTTTCATGATGCGACCAAAATCTGTTTTCATGAATATCATTGACTAAGGCTGCAGACGGCATAAATTGTCCCGAAAGCTCACGTTGAATACAAGCAAGCTTGTTGTATTTTGTCTTTTTACATTTACAATGTCCCAGGTCAATAATATTTTGAAACATATCTAGGTTAAAGGTGGTTATATCGGAAGGTCTGGAGACATTTCGGGCCCCGATGTAGAGTTTGACCTTGTTTGGCTTTGTTTTGAGCAAAGGTGAAGACCTAGGCACCGAAAACCACAAAATAAGTCTACCCACAGGTCTGCGTACTCCGTGGAGTTGGTGTTGGTGTACTCCGTGAAGCTGACGAATCTGGTCACTGGGTGGGTGAGAGCGAATCAGACCTTGGCATCGTTCGATGGAGCCACCGCCCCATAAATACTAGAGAAAAACGCCTGGTCTAAACAGATCAAGTCCACGTTTGCATCAGCCCAGCAAACGTGACTAAAAACTGCTGTTAACATCCTCGGCCTGTAAGGTATCTACAGTCGAGCGCAAAAGCAACCTGTGTTTGATATGGCCTTAACGTTGTAACACGAAGATCAAGGGAGTTAAGGCTGGCGGAAATGCTAACGTTACGTGCCGCGCATGCATAGGCGCATATGATAGCTTTTTATTTTGGTTATGTGCGGTTGTTTCTGTTTTGGGGCATTCATAACTCACATAACACACGGAAGGGGATGGGAGTTTATGTGGACTGTAAGAAAGGGTGACAGAGGAGGAGAGCTTTTTGACTCCCTAGCGTTGCACTCATGTCTGGGCTGAGGTTTCCAATGTTACCAACACGTCAGTCTTTCACAGTTCTAGCTCAGTTATGAGCCAACAGAACGCTACCTTTTTTGGACGTTGCGTTCACACATTTTGGCAATGCCAAATAACTCGCGCTAGCGCCCCCAACGGAAACGTGCGTACGGTTTTGTCTCACGGAAACTCCATGAGAAAACCCACGGAAACGCCGTCTAGCCTGCGTACGGCGATCGACTCTTGGACTAATCTCATGTGTCTCATGTGGAATATCTTACGCCATAGAGTAGTAGTCTGCGCTTGACATCTATCATATCATCACAGCCGTCTTCACCTGCCATGTGTTGGATCTTTTCAGGCGTCTCCTGGGAGAGCTCTGCTGCTGCTCTTCTGCGCCGTCTTCGGTGTCGAGAGTGCCCGCATTTTGATGTTCTCACCCATCGGAGCGAAATCTCTAAAGGGCGTATTCTACGGATTGGGCACTGCTCTCAATTCCCGAGGCCATGAAGTGGTGTTCTTCAACGGGTTCAAGCCTTCAACTCCTGTCAAAGGCATCAAGGAGGTTGTACCGGATGAACTTGCGACGCTGTATGCGGACGAAAACATGCCGAACATGTTTAAGATGAATGAAAAAGGCATCCAGGCTGGATTTAAGCAGTACGCAACATTCATGTCCTGAGGGTCCACGTGCCACATTAGCGAGCAAGGAGGTCGATGAGCTTTTGAAGAGAAATTCGACCTGGTCATGTTTGGTCCGCTCGGTTACCCTTTCTATTTCATGGCACATCTGCTCAAGGCGCCATTCATTCTGATATCTCCGATCTCTTACTATCCAGTTATGACAAGTGTGTTGGGCTCACCGACGCTTCCTGCTCTTCAACCTCTTCCACTCACTGCGTCAACTAACCGCATGGGTTTTATGGAACGTGTCAAAAACATTCTGGGGGTACGTCTTTATGCACTCCGCACCCAGCATCGTGTTCGCAAGGTATGCGGACAAAATGGTTGCAGAGAAGTTCGGCGAGGGCGTGATTCCTCCAGCCAGAGAGATCGAACGCAATGCCAGCCTTGTCCTACTCAACAGCAACCCAATGATCGACTACCACAAGCCGCTGCTGCCCAATGTCATCGAGGTGGGTGGACTGCCATTGTGCGGACGCGAAGCCCCTGTCCAAGGAGCTGACCAGCTTCCTCGGCGACTCAGAGTACATATTCTTCAGTCTAGGCTCCGTGGTACGTCCTCAGGACATGTCTGTGGGTCAACGTTCGGCTGTGCTCAACGCCCCTCGGTGCGATGCCGTTCAAGGTCCTGCTCAAGTGGGACACCACAGACCGCACCAACATACCGGCCAACATCCTGCCGTCCAAGTGGCTGCCACAGCAGGACATCCTGGGTGACAGCAAGTGCAGGCTGTTCATCTCACACGGCGGCTTCGCCAGCGTTCTGGAAGCCCTCTGTCATGGCGTTCCCATGGTGGCCATGCCAGTGACGGTAGACCAGCATTGTAACGCGGCTCACGCTGTTGATCTTGGTGTGGCCGAGATCCTGACGTGGGAGAGCCTGACGTCCGAAACGCTGCAGGCAGCCATCCGCTCCGCCATGTCTGCCGGGCACCGGGCGGCGTCCCGCTACCGCCAGGAGCTGCTGGCTTCTCAGCCGGTGCCGCCCCGTGACCTGGCCGTGCACTGGGTGGAGCACGTGATCCGGCACGGCGGCGCGCCGCACCTCAGGTCGGTGGGCGCCGACCTCAACTTCTTCCAATACTACTCGCTCGACGTGGTCGTCTTCCTGCTGGCGGTACTGGTGCTGGTGCTGAAGCTGCTGGTAGCTCTGGGCAAGTGTTGCTGCCGCTGTCTGTGCAGGCGGAAGACAGGTTCGGCGCAAACGAAAACCAAACGGTCCAAACGTGACTAGCTGCATGCCATCTTTACAGCGTGCCCACAAGTGCTGTAGTTCTAGTATCTGAAAGAATGACGATTGCCTTTTCGGCATCAATACGTTTATTTGTCATGGGGTGTGTTCGCAGGTCGAGTCTGTTGACATGGTATTTTATTTACATGATGTACAGTAAACTTTCGAAACGCTCGCGTGCTTTCACGCCAAACACACTGTTTGCACGCTCGGTGCCCTCTTGTTAGCGTGCTGCGTGCCTAGCTTGCCATATTTTCTCGGGATCAACCACAAAGTGTTTGTCATTTTCTGGAACACACTCGATGTCCATCCGGAAGTCATTTCAAATGACTGTAGCCCCCGATCGCACGCACCGAAGTGGTTGGCTGCGAGTGCAGTTTGGGTCAGGTCATTAGCGTTTGTTCGCAAGGATCGATTACTCCCAAGGCTGGACACTGCTGGGCGTGAAGTCAAAATTGTGTTAAGCTGGCTGAATGACGTATCGGCATGGGTTCTCTAGGCGGGGAGCATTTCCCCCATTTTCCAAAGGCATGACCACGTTGTTATCGCTACCTTAGCACCGTTTTGTCCATTTGTACCAAATAAAACAGTGATCCACTTGTTCGAATGTTCATCAACAAAATGAAGGTGCCATTTTCGTTTTTAGAGAAAGCGTCTGTTCAAGACAAATCTTAACGTTCATACAGGTGGCAAAAGCACAAAATCGTAACCCTCCTGCATAATTTGTTACCAAGGGTGTCATTTTTTGTAAAACTATTGGGGGGCAGAACCGAACGCCCATCAGCCTGCCCACCCACATTTTTTTCTCATCGGATTTAGTTCACTCCATTTTGATGAAAGGCAAGATACGTTTTTAAGTTTTGTGTACTTTATAAAAAGGATCCATGGAACAGGCGCCTCTTCGGATAGACAAGTGAAGGCGCCCCTTTAGAGGCCTCCTCAGGGCGCCGAAGACACTCTTCTATGGCGGTCACGGGAGGCGGCACGCATGTTGGTCGTGGGGGACGGGGAGGGTTAGGGTGGCTATGAACGACTTACGCGATTCCCGTATTCCATAGCCTCTCACTTGAGCTTCTCACTTTTCACTCACTCTCTGCCAATATTAGACATAACTAATCATCAGGTTTCAATAGAGTGCGTTCTTGAAATATGCCCTTAGGTCCGTCCCCTTACACACTCCTACACACGACTTTTAAACAAATGTATACACCTCTGTGGTAATTTCTTAGACAATTAGTCCATCGAGGTCAGGATTACGACTAATTTCACTGAACTTGAGTCAGTATGAAGGTAAGACCGAGATCAAGACCAAACTGTTTTTTTCAAATGACATCTCATCTAGATTTCTTGAAAGTCAGAGAAGATCACTGACCTAAAGTGACCAGCACCAAGCGTTTCTCCGACCGGCGTGACCTGAAGTAAACACCCGTGAAACTTTGCATAGATCAGGTATCTAGGGATTAAAGCGGTTGCATAAGGAGGTCTGGAGGTACTTGGGCCACTGATCTGGAGTTTAGCCTTGGTTTGGTCCAATGGTCAGTCAGTACTTTGACCTAGTCTATCTCAAAATTTGACACAAGTGGGCTCATACACAGGCCTTTCTACCGCGTGGGTTTACTGCTTCTTGTTCTCCTGCCTCTTAACCCAGGGGTCAAACTGACCTCCCATTCTGAGCGCGTCGCGATCAAACGGCCATACGTGCGCATGTTAAATTATTGTTGTGACCTGATTTGTGCCTAAATATCCATGAAATGACCACATTTTGTAAGACACTTTAATTTCATGCAGGCTAGATCTCCATCAGAATTACAAATTAGTAACAAACCATCCTTCAAGATAAGTATCACTTAAATGTGTACGATTGTGCATTATTAAATGTTAAGATTTTCTGCTGCGCATGTCGATTCTCATCTCCCTTGAAATCTGAAAGTTTCATTTAAACCCAAATATATTAATTCCCTGGAAATCGCGATGGCATGCGGCCAAACATTTTGAACTAAAATGACTATGGGACACCAGATGAAATTAGCATTTCCCGTACTTTTGCCGCAAAATGTAGCGGGCAAGTGTAGGTCCAAATATATATGACATCAAAACGACGCCATTGTTAGTGGTGGCATACAATTATCCGAGTTTAACTAGCATGGCTGACTTGCAGTTAACAGATGATATCCGTAGAAAAGGTCAGGGATGTGGCAGCTAACAGGCTTTGCCTTTCTACGAACCAGCTGGCCGCAACGCGCGAAATGCTCGCAAAAAATAAGTTGCTCCGAAGACACGCCGATCGACATTGCCGAGACTTAACTTTGACAGAGCTGAAATCAACTGAAGCTATGCTGACCACATTGTGATGGGCGAAACGCGCGGTGGAGGGCTCGCCTTCCAGAACAATTGTTCGTATATGGCTCGCCGAAGAGGGCCATTGGCTGCTGCCTTGACAGCGCCAGCCTGATCACAGGGCGCCGAGAGTCGTGTAATTGCATGACACGGTAAAGGTCCCTTAGTGGTATATGGGTGAGGGCCCGATGCAGAGTGGATCCGTGTTACCATAATTACATTAATGGAATGTTGGGTGGGAGTGGAAGAAATTCATGACTTTTAGCAATGGATCCGATTCCAAATTTGTCCCACCAAAATTTTTATTTTTTTCTGTCTGTTATGTGTATTATACACCCATTTCATAGCTGAGGCTTCATTCTAAAGTAACGGTGCCGCACCAAAAATATCATTCTGTTACTCGATTTTATTTTCTCATGAGACAATACTTTAAAGAAAGCCGGATTTTAATGAAGAAACAATGCTAGGCTCGTTGCCTTCCATGGGTAGCAGACGAAATTTCGCTCGGGATAAAAGTATCACGAGACCAGTGAGTCAGTGGCGTCAGTATTATGTTTAGTTTGCGGGAATAAGCGTCTGGTGCTTTGTTTGACGAGCAAAAAAGTCATATGTGAAAAGGGTTAACTCGCCCTATTCAAAGTTACCCATCATTTGAGGAAATAATTTGAGGCTGTATGTATCAAGGTGCCCTGCTGCATCCTCCATACCGACGCCACTGCGCAGTAAGACTAAGGAAGATAGCCTTCATGTGATAGTCGTCTTTTGCCTATGTTTTTTTGCGGCATTCCAGCCAAAACCACTGGGGTGGGGCCAAGCCAACTTTGCGGGGGGAGGGGGAAATCAACAGTTGGGCGGGGAGGGGGGCAGTGCGCCCCCAAAATATAAATCGAGACCTGTGCTTCTTACGTAAGAGGGACATCAATCTACCGACTCGCCGCTGCACCGTCCCTTACGTTTCTAACTCGCGCACTGCGCATGCGTCATTAGAAGCAGGCGTCCTCGTTGTCGCATGACAGACGCCGTTGGGCATCTGGCGACGGGGGTGCGTCGGAACGCCGCCTCCAAACATGGTACATGCGTTGTATTTTGGTGTTCTTCCGTTAGCTACAATCGCTTTTGAGTTAGGCTGGGGATGAAAATTCTATCGCGAAAGGACCGTACCGTAGTGAAAAATCTAACTCACAGGCTGGAACTTGTGATTCAGTGAGAGATGCTCCAGCAAACAATGACATACATCTCAAGTCGGTATGAACGTAATATCATGAACATGACAAAAATGCTTTCGCTTTTTCTCATCTTAAGTTACCACACTGAAACAAATTAGATTAAAGAAAAGTGATTTCAAAATGGTGTGATGAGCACCAAAAACTATGGAATACCGATGCTTTGATGCTGTACCTAACACTTCCCTTCCACAGGATTGTTTAATACAGAACAAAGCGAGAAAAATCAACAACAGAAAACAATATGACATTCAGCAAGCATAAAACATTAAAACAAAAAAAGCCTTGGACTCGTGCACAACACATCACGAAATCAAACAAAAAAGACATAGTTTTGGCTTCTGTTACGATGGGGTCGGGAAATACAAATATTGTGTTACTGTTTTTTGCAAAATGCCTATGCTTATCTCCACGAAAGTAACCTAACTAAGCCTAACCTATAGAAGCATTACCTCATCTCCCAACTGCTTCTTGCCATGCAAGCAAGAAACTTAACCTGATATAGTGTAATACATATGTTGAACATCGTCTTAACTCACCTGACCTATTTCTTGACAGCAGGAGTTGTGAGAAAAACATGGCACAGGTTATTTTTGGCTGGTTTGAACTTGAATTTGGTTCGATTCCGTTGAGTCAGCTTATTGACACCAGCCAAAGTTGGCAAGACACGGATCAAAACCCAGGAGCGAACTGAGAGGACATGACTATCCATTAACTATTTAAATCACTGGAACAGTTTATTCTGATTGTTATGGCTAGCCTCTGTCAAGGGCAATGGTGGGTATACTCAACAAAACAATCTCTTCTGAAGTACGATGTCGTGGCGGCGCAAGCAGTAGCCCGCGCTAGGGATTTATCCCTACCTTCGAAGATTTTCTCACAATAACATCCGAATAGCCCGGCGAAACCGGGCTAATCTTTGTATAGCTGAAAGCAATTGAATAGCCGATTTTTTGTGAGAAAAATTAGACGTGAGTTCTACAGTTGTTCATCTATAAGGTGTGAAAGTCAAACCATGGCTGTCAGCAGCGATAAATCCCAGGGAATCGTTCAATCCGATGCAAGAACGGAGTATGAGATGAAATCACTCGTCTTTGGGATGGTTTCTTAGACAGACAATTTAATTGAGATTTTTGATAAATCCATTGACTGTGGATCAAATACTTAGTGCAATCCAACGGCAAGACTCAACTGTTCTGTTTACTGGATAATTTGCATTAAGGGATAATTGCCGACGCTCATTTCTGATTTCTTGATCACGCAGACGTCAACGGACATCTTATCTGGACTTCAGGATGGCTAGAACAGGTCAATGGCCTAAAAGAACACTGATCGATTCTTCATTAAGAACACACAGCCTTACGTAATCATCGACATTGATTTAACTAAAAACATCAAAACAGCCTCGTAGGTTTTTTGGTCACATGACCTTCTGAAGGACAAATGACTTGCCTGCCATGATATGCCAATGACTTGCCAATAACTTAATCAGCCTGCCATGAGCGCCAGAAACCTTTTTCTTGGAAGGGGTATATGGGTTCAATGTTAAAAAGATAATATTCTAACTACCTTGCTTCCATTTGAGGAGAGCTTTCGGGAAAATCTATATTCCTTTTTAGCCTTGGTTAAAAATGATATTCACAAAAGTAGAATTAAGAAGGCATTAAGAAAAAATCCAAAAGATCACATATAATCTAACACACCTATTCCGCTAAGGTAACGAAGGTAGAATAGACAACCGGTTTTATGTTTCAGCCGCAAATAAATCGTACAAACTGCTAACAAAGAACACATGCAACGCACTCACAAATTGCGTTGCCATCTTGATGCATTTGTTCTGAATGTTGCTACGTCACATGACAGCTGTCACCGCGCATATCTCTTAAACATGTGCAACTATGCATGTGCGACAATACTAAGCATGTGCAGCCAGCGCATATAATATATTTTTCATGGCGGTTATGTGCGATTGTCTCTGGCTTGGCGACCATTCAACAACTGCATAACGCACGGAGATGGATGGG